CAGCCCACTCCTCTGCCTCTAGACCACAGGCTCTCCGCTCCAGTTTCTGAGGAGTCAGCAGAGCCCACTGGTCCTTACGCAGAGCTAGTGGGTTGCCTCATGTACCTGATGACTTGCACTCGCCCAGATCTCGCATACCCTCTCAGCATCCAAGCTCGCTTTGTGGCTACAGGCAGACACCGACCTCAGCACTGGTCTGCCGTTAGGAGGGTTTTGCATTATCTTGCAAGTACATCGGGCATGGGGTTAGTGCTAGGAGGACGCAGGCCAGTAGTTCTTACTGGACACACAGACACTTCTTGGGCAGACGACACTGAGACCCTCAGGTCCTCGCAGGGCTACTGCTTCAGCCTTGGTTCAGGTGCCGTCTCGTGGAGAGCTACCTGCTCCTCGTCTGTTGCCCAGTCTAGCTGTGAGGCCGAGATCTACGCCGGTGCCATCGCAGCACAGGAGCTCCGCTGGCTGACCTTCTTGCTCACTGACTTGGGTGAGTGGCCTAGCTCTGCCCCAGTCCTGTACGCTGACAACAGGGCCATGATCCTCCTGTGTCAGGAGCCTCGACTCGAGGGCAGAGCGAAGCACATCCACCTGGGGTACTTCCTCCTGCGTAAGCTACAGCAGCGCCGCCAGGCGCGCGCAGTACACTTGGCCTCTGGTGCCAACACAGCTGATATCTTTACGAAGGCGCTTGCGCCTAAAGATCATCAGCGGCACTGTGTACAGCTTGGTCTTGTTCCCGTAGCCTCTCACTTGCTAGGGCCTTGATTGTGTACAGACCTTTATATACACTGACGGAAAGTATTGCCCGGATAAAATCCAATTTTAGGTTCAACAAATGATTTGAATGCTTTCAACCGATGTATCGCTGAATTTTCAAAGCTGACTAGTAAGTAACGAGTGCCAGTTGCATTAAGGTAACACGTTTGCAATTTGAAGTGGTCGCACTAATAGTGTGGACAAGATTTCAGTCGCGTGAGTGCATCCGGACAGTTTCGGCCAAGCAGCGGACTAGATCCGTTTTCGACTAGCGCATTCTCTCCATAGTTCCGAACGCAATCGTCGATTAATCAGGATAGAGTTATACCCGACGCATAGACTACGCCAAGATGAGACCGATAGATGAGGCTCATCGCGCCCGGATCATAGCACTGTTGCGTAAGGGGTACAGCAGGAGGAAAATCGCGAAACAGGTTGGCTTTGGGAAAAGTACAGTACTTGATGTCGGACTCAAGGCGATTTCAGAGACTAGTCTTGAGGACGTACGTCCTACAATGCCCACTGCTGGTCGTCTACGCGTACTGGCGAATAGAATTCGTCGTGGGATCGTCATGGCGATCACTAGCGGCGAGGCGAAAACCTCGAGGCATGCGGCCCAGATCGTCGAATCCTAGCACGGCATCACGGTGCATCCTAGGATGGTGTGTAATGCGCTTAAATCCAGCGGCCTTATCGCAGTTCAGCTGCCTAAGAAGCTGCGACTCTCCAAGAAAAATATCCGCGATAGGCTGATTGGACCATAGATGATTGGCGACGGGTCATATGGTCGGATGAGACGAGGATTAGTAGGTTCTGCTCTGACGGCCGCGCGTACGCCTGGGTTCGTGAAGGTACGACTCTCCAACACCACCAGATCAAGCAAACCGTCAAACACGGGGGTGGCGGCTTGATGATCTGGGGATGTATGACGTTTGAGGGGGCGGGTTTCATGTGCAAAATCGATGGTCGAATGGACGGGCCGCTGTATCTGAGCATTTTGCAAGACGAGCTGAAGAAAACCATCGACTTTTACAAGCTAACCCCCTCGGCTGTGATCTTCCAGCATGATAACGACCCCAAGCATAAGTCCCGTGTGGTGCAGCAGTGGCTTCAGGAGCAGGAGTATGGGGTCCTGGAGTGGCCGGCAGGAAGTCCTGATCTGAACCCCATTGAGAATCTTTGGGCTCATCTTAAAAGGGAGCTGGGTAATTATGAGACACCTCCCACTGGTATGGTGGACCTGTGGGAGCGTGTACAAGAGGAGTGGGAGAAGATCCCATCAGAGGTGTGCTCCAATTTGATCGACAGCATGCCCACGAGGGTGAAAGCAGTGCTTACGGCTAAAGGGCGGTGGACCAGGTACTAGTTTAAGGGTTGTTCAAGTTGCTGCTTCCGCCTAGAACTAATTGTCCACATGCACCGTGATTGGTTATGTCTGCTTTTTACTGTTAACGATAGTAGTTTCATCAAATGTGTAGCATTTTTTTGTGTCCCTAGATTGGCCTGCATATAGTGGGTAATGCCTCCAATTAAGGCTTAATGTACACATGCCCTTGAACGGTGGAAATTCAAAAAATTGCAAAACATGTGGACGATTCTTTCCGTCAGTGTATATTTCTCTGACTGGCCTTGTGGCCTCTCCCGGTGGTTGGACTAGTAGTGCCGCCCTGGTCTTGCTCGTGTCTTTTCTGTACTCCTTTTGACTGGTCTTTAGACCCTTGTCTTTTGGCTGGACTAGTAGTGCCGCCCTGAGCTGCTTCTTCCCTTGTTAGGCACTGCCCCTATATAGTCTAGGGGGTGTGTCAAATGTAACTTAGGTCGTTACTGTAGACTATACTGGATTGTGCCTTAGAGGGTACAACACCCTAGTCTATATATCCTTGTAAACACACATTCTAGTCTATTCATTTTCTTTCTGATATACCCGACCTCGGGTATATTTTACCCGACCGGGTCAGGTACCCGTTACCCGACACGTCGGGTAGCATTTCGGGTAGCGGGTATTAATACCCGGCCCGGGTAACCCGGACCCGACCCGCCGGGTAATTTTCAGGATTTCCGATACCTGACCCGCCCTAAAAGCGGGTCTGGGTACCGGGTACCCGACCCGGGCGGGTAGTTTGCTCAACCCTTATTCTGGTGAACGACCAGTCACGCCCCTCACACCTGCTCCAGTTCGCCTTGGCAGATTTGATTCTGTTTCAGGGCGAATTTCGATAAAGGCTGATTTATCGTGCTCGCTAAGGTAAGAATATACTATTTTTTAGGCCTTAAATAATGGGAACACATAAATTTTAGGTTTGATGAACATCAAAACCGGAAAAGAAAAACAGGGTATGCCCTAAAAAACATCCTGATATACAGGATTTCAGATATTTTTGGCCTGAATTCTGAGGGCTTGGATAAGACCCAGGGGTCTTATATCCGAGCGCTAAAGGTATTTCCACATCAATAAAAACACATTCTAGAGCTATAATGTTGGGTTGTACCACTTACCAGTACCGATATTATACACAAATGAGCTGGAGCGGAGTATAGATGCCTTGTAAATATGCCGACTTAAGATGTAGAAAAACAATCATATGATGTCAAATCGGGGTCATGGTAGTGCAGCCGAAGGAGGTATTATTGTACCGAAAGGCTACTATGGAAAAACGCAGTTGGCTTGGCTCAACAATCAAACGTAGCACACCCGCTACTTTTTGAGGGGCCCTTTTTATCGGACCACTAATATGGATCCCAAACCTACAACGCGTGTCGGCTGGTTTCAGATTCTCGTTTGCAGGAAACTTGCGACCTGGGCCTATTTTTCAAGGAATGCTGCCCTGAATTTGAGTCAAACAAATAGCACTTTTCTAGATGGCACTGTGCTTTTACGCCGGTCGGGAAGCCCGCTGGTTGGGAAGCCCGCCGGTCGGGAAGCCCGCCGGTCCGGAAGCCCGGCGGTCGGGAAGCCCGGCAGTCAGGAAGCCCGCCGGTCGGGAAGCCTGCCAGTCGGGTAGCCCGCCGGTCGGGAAGCCTGCTGATCGAAAAGCACGCCGATGCTTTTTCAAAAGCACACCGGTCGAAAAGCCCACACCGGTCGAAAAGCCCACCGGTCGAAGAGCCCACTGGTCCAAAAGCCCACAGGTCCAAATTAAGGCTTCATGCAATGTGCGACTCTAAGATTAAGGGTATATTTGTTTCCTACCTTGGGTGTATACTACTAGTGCTGGTAGGGCTACATGGGGATCTCCTTAGGAGGAACAACTCCCTTCGAAGATTTTCGTTGTTCTCCCCTCACAGCACGCACTCACACCTAGAAGTCACAAAGAGAGGGGAGGCACCTCCCTTAGTATATTTTTGTTGTTCTCCCACAGCACGTACTTAGACCAAGTAACAAACAGGGGAGATACCTCCCTCGGAAGTTTTTTCGTTCTTCTCTCCTGACAGCATGTTACTCACAACTTGTAGTCACAAACATAGTAAAAACAACTTGGAAGATTTTCGTTCTTCTCCCCTCACAGCACGTCTCACACCTCGTAGTCACAAACAGAGGGGAGACAACTCCCTTGGTGGATTTTCGTTATTCTCCCGTGCACGTTACTCACAGCCCCGTGCACGTCACTCACACCCTTCTCATAGTGCCCATACCTCTCCTGGTAGATTTTAACCGTGGCAGTGAAAAGGGTACTATGTGAACGAACCCTTATGTTTAAGAGTTTCTTTCCGTTGCAAACTGAAAATTGAGGGTAGAAGCTTAGAGAGCCTGAAAAACTAGAAGTAAGCCCTACTTGCGACCATCAAATCATCCCCGTACCTAAGTACGGGCCTACAATGCTGGTTTGGAAATACGTACATCAAATGTGCATGCAAGGTCATCCGTGAGAGAATGACGCGCTTCCGGAGAATCGCGTCTTCAATTCCCCTTGTTACGGGTTACCTAAACCCTGCTGAGCGCGTTTCCGATTCCTACTGTCAGTTTTTTCTCGGTATTGTTTTATGGAGTATTTTTAGAAACATGTGGGTCAGGCGTCAACTTTTGGGCGTGTCGCCAACTGCGTTTCTTGTCCTTTGGATAAGGACAAAACATTCAGGATGCCAAATATTGCTGTCTCCTTTAACTCGCGCCCATTTGGCGCACGTTTGATTGCCATAAAACGTGGGGTTTTATTTTGGAACAGTAATTTGGGGCAGTAAGACCTAAAGGGTGGGATCAACCAAAAAATCGCGAGAGGACCGTCAATTTAGGGTTGATGCCATCCCGAAAGGGCATGCCCAGTCCCTACAGGTTTAAGTGTTTTTTTCTTCTTCTTCTTCTTCTTCTTCTTCTTCTTCTTCTTCTTCTTCTTCTTCTTCTTCTTCTTCTTCTTCTTCTTCTTCTTCTTCTTCTTCTTCTTCTTCTTCTTCTTCTTCTTCTTCTTCTTCTTCTTCTTCTTCTTCTTCTTCTTCTTCTTCTTCTTCTTCTTCTTCTTCTTCTTCTTCTTCTTCTTCTTCTTTTTCTTCTTGCCAGCTAAACTGCCTGTCATTTATTGCTTTCATTTTCGGTAGAGCTACCGATCCGACAAAAAAATATAGTGAGTGTATAGCGTTCTCACAAGTCGCGTTTGCGAGCATGCGAGTTGCAAATCTGGCAGATGACCTAAGCGTCTCAGCGTCGTCCGCCCATAAAGCATCTGTGTGCCTTGTAAGGACCACTGGCGTGCGTCCTCCCTGCACTAGCCCCATGCCCGATGTACTTCCTAGATAACGTAAGACCCTCTTAGCGGCCGACCAGTGCTGGGGTCGGTATCTGCTTGACGCAACAAAGTGAGCCAGACTACAAAGAGGGTATGCGAGATCTGGATGAGTGCAAGTTATCAGGTACATGGGGCAGCCCACAAGCTCTGCGTACGGACCACTAGGCTCAACCGACTCGTCAGGGACTGGAGCCGAGAGCATGTGGTCTATTGGTAGAGGTTTAGGTTGTGCGTAGGAGCATGTGGACACCTTGTATGCCCTTGCTTGAGACACTTTTCTATTCTGAGATGGTATCAGACTACTAAGGTCCAACCCACCCGTGCTTCCACCCTAGCCTATCGTAGTGCGCTCCGATCTAGCCACCCGTGCCGCGCCGCCCTTGTCTCGCCGCGATGCCCTAGCCCGTCTCACCGCGCAGCGCCGGCTCTGCCTAACCGCGTCGCCCTAGCTCGCCATGTAGGCCCCGTCTAGCCACGCCTCCCCTAGCTCGTCGAGCCGGCCCCGTCTCGCCGCGCAGGCCCCTAGCTCACCGCGCATGCCCCGTCTCGCCGCACCGCCCTCTCTCGCGGCGCAGGCCTCAGCTCGCCGCGCGGTCCCAGTTCCATGCCGGCCCCCTAGCTCGGCGCCGGCTCCAGCTCACGCTGGCCGCAGCTCGACGCCGGCCCAAGCTCGACGCGGACCCCAGCTTGATGCCGGCCCCCAGCATCGCCGTCCCACCCCAGCTCGACGCCGGCCCCCGGCCCGCCGCCGGCCCCAACTCGCCACGCCGCTTAGTTCGCCGCCGACCCCGGCCGCCGCTCTGCCCCTGCTCGCAGCCGGCCTCATCTCACAACGCCGCCCACCTCGCCATCGGCCGCGGCCTGCCGCGCCGCCCGCCCCGGCCCGCCGCGCCACCCCAGCTCGCGGCCAGCCCCAGCTCGACGTGCCGCCCACCTCGCTGCCGGCCCCAGCCAGCCGTGCCGCCCCAGCTCACGTTGCCGATCCTTCCACGCGGTCGGCCCTGGTTCCACTCTGAGCCGGTGCCTCGGCCGGCAGTTTCCTCTGTCATGGCTTCACCGTGCCCCACAGCACACTACCGGACTCCACCGTACTCCACCGCTCTCCACCGCTCTCCACCGTGCTCCACCGCACATCAACTCTCTTCATTGCACTGCCTGCCCTCTGCTCCTCCTCCTCTTGCAACCCTCAGCTACTGCAAATGTGGTGATGGCGGAAGCTGTGCTTCGCATGGACGCGGAGGGTCGGACGGTTGACTTTGAGGCGTGGCTCGCCGACCTCCGCCGCAAGCTGAAGGGTCAGCGCCAAGATGGCCATTCCCTGGCCGTCCATGTTAACGGTAAGCTTCCCTGCCCTGACCCACCTGCTGCCCTCCCTGACGACCCCATGCCTGCTGAGCGTGAGGCTTTTACAGCTGTCGAGCTCGCCCGCTCTGTCTGGGAGTCGCGTAACGCTGCTGCGCAGCTTGCTATTAGTGACGCTCTTCCCCTGTCCGAGCGTCCCCGCTTTCACGCCATTGAGATCGCAAAAGAGAACCTAGATGTTGTCATTGCGCGCTATTCCACTCCCTCGTCAGCCTATGTTGGATGTCTCCTCCTGCCCCTGCTCTTCCCTGATCTCGCGTTTTTCCCGATTGCCGCTGACTTTGCCACTCACTTGCCCACTCTTGAGACTAGCTACTGCGCTGTTAGCACTGAGGCTCAACTCAATTTACTGCCGACCCCCCTCGGCGCTATCCTTGATTTCAAGTCCCCACCCCGGTGACCTCACCCTTACTAACTCTGTCACCACCCTGTCCACGCTAAAGACCCGCCAGCGCACTATCTCTTAGTCTAGCGGTACTGCGGCGGTCCCTTTCTTCTAGGGCTGTGCTACCTCCTAGTGCACTTACAGTACTCTGATGTTTCTGCCGCTGTCGCTGAGCCAGCCCATGCCGCTGAGACCACTGCGGCGGCTTCAGCACAGCCTCATCAAGGTAAGGGCTGCCGCCCCAATGGGGGGCGTGGCAGAAGGAGAGGTGGTGGGGGTAGCGGGGGTGGCGGAGGTGGTGGAGGTGGTGCAAGTGCAAGTGGTGCAGACGAGGGGGCCGGGGTTGATGCCCTGGCGTAGCAGCAAGAGCAGCCGGAGCAGCAGCAGCAGCAGCCCCAGTAGCAGCAGTCGGAGCAATCACAGCAGCAGTAGCAGCAGTGGGGCACATGGATCAGATTAGCTGTGATGCATGCTGCAATGCATGCTGATGACTCTAGTGTGACTGGACCTTATTATTTTGTATTGCCTAGAGTTGGTGTGCCCGCTGTGTGTAGCCAAGCCTCCCCTGCGTCAGGCGTAGGATCTTCTTACTTGTTTAGCCTTGGCTCCACGCTAGTCCATCCACCAGCTGACGCTACAGCTACTCTCTACTTTACGCTGGACTCTGGTGCATTCACATGCTTCTTTTGTGACAACACTGCTCTCACGCCGCTTGCCGCCCCTCGCAGCCGTCGCTTTTGCTGACCCTTCCTTAGTTCGGTGCCACGGCGGGGGCCGGACTGAAGCTGGTATTAGCAGGTGACCACACTGGAGCCGCCACCCACCACGCCCACCACCACTAGCGTCGCTAGGCTAACACGGGGGCAGGGGCCCCCACGGCGGCTGCTGCTGCTGGGGCGACTGCAGCTGCTGCTGCTGCGGCATAGGCTGTTGCTACTGCTCCAAGGCATCAGCCCCGGTCCCCTCATCTGCACCACAATCCCTGCCCCAACCTACACCACCACCACCACCCCACCACCGCCGCCACCCTTCCCTCCTCCACGCCCCCCCTTGAGGCGGCGACCCTTACCCTGACGCGGCTGTGCTGAGGCCGCGGCGGCAGTCTCAGCAGCAAGGGCTGTCTCAGCGACAGCGGCAGAATCGTCAGGGTTAGTTCACTGAGTGGGAGCACAGCCCTGGAAGATAGGGACTGCCACAGGAACGCTAGACTGAGCGATAGTGCACTGGCGGGTCTCTATCGAGGACAGGGCTTTAACGAAGGCGGTATGGGTGAGGTCACCTGGGTGCAGACTAAGGAAGTGGTCGTGGGCAGTGGCTAGGCGGTCAGGAAGGCGTGTGGCAATGAGGTAAAGGGTAGCGCAAAGCGGCGGCGGGAAGGCAGTGTGCTGTGCCTCAGTGCTAGCAGTGCGGTATCTAGTCTCAAGTGCACGGAGGTGAGTTGCGAGGTCAGCTACAGCGGGGAAAGACGCGGCGACTCGG